AATTTTTTTTTTTTTTTTTTTTTTTCTTAAATCACATTAATATTTATTGCTCTAAAACACTTGTGATAGAGAAAATATATAGCCAGAAATTATAAGATTTCTTTCGCTAGAATTGAGGAAATCTCCATTTATATAGGATTAGATAGTTTATTTATTTTTTTTTTTCGTATAATTCGTTCTTCCATTTTCTTTTTTTTCGCGCTTAATCTTCGATCCTTTTTAATAGCGACCCCTTTCCTAAAAGAATCTTGTATCCCGTTTCTTCTTTCGTAGCCTCCTTCATAAGAGACAAAAAAAAAAGAAAAGAAAAAATGGAAAGAAAAACCTGAGAAACATCCGTAGCTTTCGTTTTCTTGTCTACTTCTTGTTCCCCTTTCTTTCTCACGCCTTTTATGATGCTACGCGAAAGAATGTAAAGTAGCGTTCCAGAATAATCACACGATAAGAAAAATAGCTTCGTATGCTTGGTCCCCGTTACAATGGCAATTTTCATTTAGGAGCCTCGAGTGCTTATCAACTGTAATACATTTGATGTTGTTGCAAATGTTTCTTCTTCCTCCCCTTTTTTTCTCTAGCATTACCACTCAAATTGCTACAATTCCAACTAGAATTATCAAAGATGTAGAACGCAATAATTTTTAATTAAATTATTTAATTGTTTACTCTTTTGATAATTAAATTAATTAAATTAATTAAACAAAGATAGCAAGAGTAATATTACAAACGTAAAAGAAATGTCAGTTATATTGATATAGAATAATAATTTCAACTAATTAAAATTTAGAAAATTTCTAGTAATATTATTATCATACGAATAATTCTTATAACAGTTCATGATTCATTAATCCAGAAAAGATAAAATGCAAGTATATAAAAGTGTCGTCCAAGAACAATGCATTGCCCCATAATAGATACAACCAAGAATTTCCTTCTCGATTAAAACTGTATGGTAGGATATTTGCTGATCAAGTTAATACAAAGATTTATTTTTATCCGCGATAATTCAGGAATTAAGATCAATCATATTACATTCTTATATCACTAATAATCCCAAAAATGTATCCGGCCGGATTGACTCGTTACGCAGATATGTATATTCCCATAGCGGATGATTCAAAAATAAGAATCAAAATTCTCACGTCTCACAACGATTCGCATGCAAAACCATCGAAGATAACGACCACCTTCCGGTGATTACACAGTCTCGCCGTTTCCTTACTTAACAAACTTCTTTAAACGACCTTAACTTAGGCGAACGTAGATCGCTGACTGGGAATACCGAATACCATCCGGATGAGAGTCCACTGAATAATTTCACGATCACGCCAACGAAGACGACGACGACGAATTTTCATGAAAAAGCGCGGTATCGCTCCCGGCGTACACCAATCCACCGTTTCCAACGCGCGCTCGTGTAACCTCGAGCATCCTGCACACTTGTATTCCCAGGCGGTAGTATCGGTGATGGTGATGGTAGTGGTGGTGGTGGTGGTGGTACCTACCATAAATGGTAGTTGGCGTTTCTACATTTAAAATGAGCCACGCTTTGCATAATTGTACGCCGATCTCTGTGCACGTACGCTCCACTAATACATTTCCGCACGACACCGGCTCCTCTTCCACCAACTTCCCCCTCCAGATATCTCGAGCCTCGAGAGGATCGAAAGATAACGTTTAGGTCGAACGAGATCTTGCTGTTCGATGATTTTTCTTTCTTTGTCTATTTTTTTTTTCTTTCGTTTTTTTTAAAAGATTCCGAATTTCCGCCGAGATATTACCATTCTTCCACCACCTCCCCCCTGTCCCATTCGTGATGTTGATATTGACCGAGCGGAAAGAAAGTTGGATGACATGGCGGTTTAAAGACTGAATGCGAAATGTTTGAGGGAATTTGTTTTATCCGTGCACAGCCAGGGTAGTAGTGTGTTTCGGTGAAATACTATTTGTAGTCAGCTTGGAAAATTCTCTGCAATTTCACCCCTGTATTTTTTTCCCCCTCGTTGGTTTTGTTTTCGAGG